CCAAGGCTCACTGTAAATTCTACATTTAAAAGCTGAAGAAGGAAACGTTACTATAGAAATATTGGAAGAACACAATCAGACTCAGCACGCATTGAAGACATCTGAGGATTTTCAAGTCAACATTTATCCTTTAAAATCTCCTATGTTTTTGATTTATTCCTTTTATAAGGGATGACTGATGTTCAAAAGGAAACACAGTTGTTCTAGTGCACGCTAAATTGAGTATTTATCAAACAATTGTTATAATATTCAAACATATATATATGTATATATTTATATATATATATATATATATTAATTTATATATATATCTCTCTCTGTCTCTCACACGCGCGCATGCTCTCTCTTTTAGCTTCTCATGCATCCTTCCTCAGGTGTGCTAAGATTTTGTACTTTGTATTAAGTCATAAATCAGCATTAACTGCATCGTTCATTTGTATATTATATACACAACAAGCCTTGTGAGCAAGAGATAGGTGAGCAAATACAGTGATCGTGATTGTGATTGCGGCGATTGCTGAGATTGTGCTGCTCCGCTTGGTTATTAGAACATCTTTAACTGCGTTCAAAGAGTGCCAAGTTTGTGTGGAGTCCACCGTGGTACTCTAATAAATAATTCTCTCACAATAACGCGTTAAAGTATTCTGAAGAGACCTCACTTCCACTTTCTGGTCACGAAGAAGCCTGCATTTCTGCAGCATTTCAAGGAGCCACTCTTCCTCTTCATTAAGTTCTTGTAACATTATTAATAGTGAACAAAGATATAAGGTACCAAGAACCGTTCTGTGATATCTATGTTAAACACTTAAATAATTGAAAAAGACTAAAAATTTCTAAATATAAGTATATATATTGCGGGGTGAAACACAAAAGTGTAAACAAGAAATTAAGTAATTGTTTCAAGAGAAGAAGAGTTGAATTATACGTAAATATTACACATAACACTGCGCAAATTGAGAAGACAATGTCCAACAATCCTCAGTGGAAAACGTTCCAGCCGCCAATCATGAACTCTGACCCAGCAATACTCGACTATAAGTCTATGGCTATACCAAGTCCTAAAGCCATAACGGAATATCAGCCGACAACTAATAATTATCGAAATGGTACCAATTACAGTGGTGATCATATAGTTTCACCTCCTGAATGTAAAAACTCTACTAACTCTTATGGAAGTTATCCTGGTACACAGTCATCGCCACGCAATGGCGCTACAAGATTCCCGTTTGAATTTACGGGTATGGAGACAAATGCTGGGTATACAAACGAACCTGCCACCAGTAATTCCACCTATCAGGATCAATCTGCGAATCAAGGAACACGGGAAACTGGTATAATTGAGAAATTATTGGTGAGTACAGATGGTACTACAGATATTACGGGTTTTATCTATAATTATGAAATACATAAACAAACTAATTTATACATGGTTTTTATTCAACAGCATTCTTACGGATTCATACAGTGCTGTGAAAGACAGGCAAGATTGTTTTTTCATTTTAGCCAATTTAGCGGTAATATTGAACATTTGAAGATTGGAGATGCGGTAGAGTTTGAAATGACTTACGATCGACGAACAGGCAAGCCCATTGCAAGCACCGTTAGCAAAATTGGTCCAGTGGTTAGTAAAATAACAACAACAGTAATAATAATAAAGGAATGATAGAATATTATAAAAAAATGTACGCACATTTCTTTTAGTCATTAGGTGATCAAAGATGCATCGGTAATGTAACCACAGAGTTACAAGCAAGTGGCGATTCGGGACGTATCACTTTCGAATACCGTGGAGAATGTTTTTTTCTGCCATATACCAAAGATGATGTTGAGGGAAACGTCACCTTACGTACTGGTGATAAAGTATCATTTCAAGTTGCAAATAATCAACGGTATGATATGTTTTTACATTATATACATAGTATTTATCAGTGAAATAAGAACTTATACAAGTAGTTATTTCTTTTCTTACATACGCAACGCTTATATTCTAGAGGAGTCTTGAATGCATGTAATGTAAGGCTGGAAAATCCAGCACATCCAGTTCGTTATCGCGGAGTGGTATGCTCAATGAAAGAAAATTTTGGTTTTATCGAGCGTGCTGATGTAGTCAAAGAAATATTCTTCCACTTTAGCGAAGCTAAATCTATGAAAGAAGAACTTAGGCTAGGAGATGATGTGGAGTTTATAATACAAACGCGCAATGTAAGTAAAATAAAAATGTATAAATGTTTCTTTGAAAAGATACGTACATGAGCAACATATGATTTAAATAATGAAGAATCTGAAGACACGTAAAAAATTACGTTACTTAATCACACGTAAAAAAAATTTAGTTGTAACCGTAAGTCCAAAAGTATATCGACTAATTGTATTCGAACGTTTTAAAACGTGAGATCGCAATCTTTTTTGGTTATGATTGGTTGATTTGCTTATGGCCTTATGATTATGATTAAAATTTTTCTACATGTGACTTTAAAATTTAATGTTTTTTTTTTTGTAGGGGAAAGAGGTAGCTTGCAATATTACAAAGTTACCACCCGGCTCAATTGTATTTGAGGAAGTCAGTAACGAAGTGGTAAAAGGCCAAGTGTTGAAACCTTTGGAGAGAGGTAATGCTGCTCGTCATCAAAATGATCCATTACCTGGTCGTATTCGATACAGAGACAGTGATCATTCTGAAGTTGAAGTGCCCTTTGGCGATAAAGATCAAAAGGGAGACTTTACTCTTAGGTAATTTATGTGAATTAATAAATGTATTTTTTTAATTTTACATAGTTATACACATCGCTGTGATATAATGTAAATTAATTTCTTTAATATAGGCATGGGGACTGGGTCCAATTTCGTATTGCAACAGATACTAGAGATCAACTCAAAAGAGCTACAGAGATAATGTTATTACCAGAATCTTTCACTGTGTCTGGAGAAAGACGGGAGCAGGGTGTAATACAATCTCTCAAGGATGGTTTTGGCTTTATTCGTTGTGTAGAAAGAGAACCCAGACTTTTCTTTCATTTTAATGAGGTTCTTGATGTTGATAGAGAAATTAGTGTAGGAGATGAAGTTGAATTTACAGTCGTACAAGTAAGTACAAATTAACATGAAAGTATAATGTTAAAAAAAATGCTTTTATTGTATATATATATAATTCCTTTTCGTTTTAATTATAATTTTGTTCTTTTTCATAAGGACCCATCATCATCATTCTCTAATACTCGACAAAGTGCTATTAGACTGAAACATTTGCCAATGGGTACCGTAACATTTCAAACTATTATAGAAAAAGATATATTAGGTACTGTAGCACAAGACACAAATTCGATGGAACCTGGCCTCATTAATTATGGGCAGCAGAAAAGCATTATTTTCTTCTCCAAAGATTGCGACCCTAAACATATTCCAAAATTGGGTGATAAGGTGAATTAATATAAAGTTTATATAAGAAATTCAATCCATTTTTTTAGAAAAAAAACTTGCTCTATATGTTTTGCTGTAAATATTTATTTAATTTTATAGGTAATGTTCAATATTGTTCAAGTGAAACGAAATAAAGAACTTGTTGCTGAAGACATATTTTTAGTAAATGCCGCTGGTGAAAAAATTCAAAATGTTAACAAAAAATCAAATGGACAAGTATGTCAAGGATTTATTGCCGCCCTTAAAGACGGGTTTGGTTTTATTGAGACAGTAAATCATGATAGAGAAATATTTTTTCACTACAGGTGAGAGATATACTTTAATTTCTACGAATGATGCACACACACACACACACGCGCGCGCGCGCGCGCGCACATATGTGTGTGTGTGTGTGTGTGTGTGTGTGTGTGTGTGTGTGTGTGCATGCGTGTGTATAAAATAACATTTTATTCGCAGTAATTTTGAAGGCGACGCTAGTACATTGGAATTAGGAGCCGATATCGAATGTACAATTAGTAGTTCGAGCAATGGAAGAGGTTCTGGAGGTTGTGTAGCTGCTGATCATGTTAAACTGGTACCTCGTGGAAGTATTCCCAGGCCAACACCTGTTAGCGAGGTACTCGACGGTACTGTGGTGCGACCACTGCGAAGTGCAAATCCCGAGCAAGTTGAATACGCTGGTTTGATCAAGATTAATCCAACTAATGAAGATGAGGAGACGCCAGAATATGAATTCGGAATCATGGGACTTTCTAACAAACGGGAGCTATTGCAGGCTGGCGATCCTGTGCAATTACAGGTCGATTCAGCAGGTCATGCTTGTAATATCGTAGCCGTCAGGAAAAAAAGAAGAGCTACTGTGGATGCGATGAAGGGTCCTTTCGGCTTTCTCGCTTACGAAGTCGATGAGGGCAGAAAATTATTCTTCCATGTAAGTGAAGTTCGAGATCATGTTACGCTGCAGCCGGGAGATCAAGTAGAATTCGTTTTGGTTACTAATCAACGCACTGGCAAATCATCAGCATGCAATGTAACTCGATTAAGGTAAATTAATTTTTTTAATTTTTTTATACTAATGGCAGTATAATTTTATTTACAAATTTTTATTGTTTATAGCGATACAGTCCAGCAACGACCCGAACGATTAATAAGTCGATTACGTACTACATCGCTAGAAGATTCAGGCCCAAAATTAACTGTGGTCAGGCAACCAAGAGGACCTGATGGTACGCGTGGATTCAACCAGGAAAGATATCAGCGTATTCCTGGTGCCATAGAAGAATAATGCACCTGGGCAGCTAATGAGATTGGGCTATTAATTATCCAAATTGTAATCTACAATTGTTTTTAGTCCATACACTTCGAGATTACTATCGTAAACATGGTCGTAAACGTTTGCCAAATTCAGACTAATGTGACAACAATAATTATAAATGATAATAATCTGAAAATGGATGGTGACCAAGGGCCGAAATAATATAAAAGTAAAATGAAAACAAAAAATGAACAACGATTCATTTTATCACCTCATAAAGGGAGGAAACGGGAGAAAAAAAGGCGATTTGTCTTACATTCAGATTTTATTCTAATACGTAATTGGTTTCTCTCTTTAGTTAATTTCCCACATCTTCATGAATTTATTACTAAGCTACCTATTTGATGTTATTTTTTTGAACGTAAAATGGATAGTTTATAAGATTTGTCGAAATTTTTTATTAGTTTTCTATTTTCATGCATGTTCGGTAAATATATCAATTCATTACTTAAAAATAACGAAGTACTCAAAGATGTCTCAGAATATTTACAGGTTGGATTGCTAGCTACCTGTTTGTATTTGAGATCTTGTATTTGTGTCTTTATAAAAAGTATCTTTATACATGTTGATATACAATCTTTTACAATTTATATGATTTATTTTGAAATTCGTTTTATCTATTATGTACATTATATGTGATATAAATGTACAATGGTAAAAGAAAAAGAAAAAGAAAAAGAAATTACACGCGAAGTGATATTGATACAAGATTGAAGGAAAACATCCTGCAGTACAGATTCTTTACCGGAATTTGCTGAATTTTATTATGAGTAGTGTATTTTGTTGTAATAAATTACGATATTGAGTCACTCTGTTAAGACGGTGTCTATAAATTTGTAAAAAAGAAAAAGAAGAGTTATGACTGGCCAACTGTTTATCTTAGATAATATATATATACATATAAATATATATATATACATAAATATATATATATATATACATGTCGTTAAGTTCCTCTAATGCAGTGTTGTAAAATCAAATTAGTGTGTATTACTAATTCTGTGGACATACACAATGGAAATTACAAAAAAAAAATATGTAAAAAGTAAGACGTTTTATAAGTTTTGCCATTTGAAACGGTAAGCGAAGTACGTGTGGCATTATTGTAGAGATATGAGAGAAATAACGTAAATAAGGTAAAGTACACAAGCACGATACAAACTAAGCGCTTGTCCCAAAACTCATGGATCCAACACATCATGTGCATACATATTGTAAAATTATTGATGAATAAACAGTGGAAGCATCGAAATATATCTACCTTCTATAAAACGTCAGAGCTCTTTCAAAACCGTAAAGTTATTTTGCGGTGTAACTTACCGAGCTATTTCCAAGATTGTGGTTACGAAGGTCCCAAGAATATTCTGAATAGGGATGGAAATGAGAGATGGAACGGCGTACGATTGTGTGTTTTAATATTTATTATGTATGTACAAAGATGTGTGTAAATATGTTTTATGAAACGCGTTTCTTTCCCTGTATGTATGTATGTATCATATTAAGACAAATTTGTATTTCAGATGAAAGTAAAAGGAGAGATTCGAGTTAGATCACCACACACTCGTAAGGGAATTGTCCTCGGAAAAGTGTATTGTCTGATCGTGGACAAGCTGTAACATATAATTATTCATATTAATTTTTTTCTTTTTCATTTGCATCATCGTAATATACTTTATATGTTGAATGAAAAATTCGAGAAATGCGAGAATTTTTTAATATTTAATAATATACCATTTTTTATTCTACCAAAATGTTCTTCATTTTCTAATTTTATTCAATCATTCAAGTGATTCAGCATGTAAAAATTTAATGTTTAAAAACAATTTAAGCGTTGTGTAGGCTGAAAGTTCAGTCGAATTATCTGCTGTCATTGAAGGTACTAACGTGTCTCGCAGTAAGTGCCGTAGAATCCAGTTCCTTCGCAGCGACATTTAAATCCGGGCTCCGACGATATTTGAGAACATGAGCCTTCATTCAGGCAAGGTTTCGATCGAGAACATATGTCGCTACGTCTTCCTGCAACGAGACACGTTAAAATTCTTAAGCATGTAAGATACATCGTCAATGTATTTATTATTCTATTCTAAATTCTAAATTTAACAGTTCAAGAGCAAGTATTCGTTTATCATTACCTTTCAGTGCTAACTTGCAATCATCATTGTTGTCATATCTGTATTCGGATTTGCAGCCGTAGCCACAACTGCATTGTGCATTATAGATGCGGCATCCGTATCGCATCTGATCCAACTCGCATCCCTTCGACAACATAATTCCTGACAAAGAAGTTTGGCATTAATTAGACTGCGTTGAACAAGTACAATGCTATTGAGCTATTTAATCGAGCAATACCTCTGATATCTTTCTAACAAATAGATGTTTTGATTTGATTGAACTAAATTTTTTAATAAAAATATTAAATATATGATTTTCAAATAATTGACGTAATCAAGTAATGTAAGTAATTTTAAAAATAAAAAATTTCTAATGCTCAATATCTATAGTAGAGAAAATAAAATACTGTTTCTCAATCAATTTCACAAGTTAACTTTAGTAGAATTTCAACTTCAAATTAAGTGATATACGAAGATATACCATAATAATTTTAAATATAAAATAATGCGAGAGATAAATAATGGATGCCTTCGACATTTTTCTTAAAAAAATTATATGTACATTAGTCGAAGAAATTTCAATAAAAAAGATATTTGAGTTTTGAAAAAATAAAAGAATAAAGGAGGAATAATAAGAATAAACTCTTTGACATGTTTATTAATAATTATTATATATATATATATATATATATTATATAAATATAGAATCCAATTTAATTGAATCGCATCTATTAATTCTTCTGATAATAAGCATTAAAATATATATATATATATATATATATATATATATATATATATATATATATATATATATATATATATATATATATTTTAATGCTTATTATCAGAAGAATTAATAGATGCGATTCAATTAAATTGGATTCTATATTTATTAACTATCTACATTATTTTTAGGTGAATGTACCACAGAGTGTAGTGGAAATATCTACGGTTTATTTACCCCGGGGAGAGATAGTGGCGTTTTAACGAAGACGAATGTTTGCGACCGGATGCGCTCGGCTGCACTTCCCACTTGTCTAAATTGATAAGTGTTTCACGAGATAGAGGATACCGTGCGTGGGCTAATCGATTTTTAGATTCGTTTACTCTCGACCTAATGACATGACGTTCGTGATTTCTTTTTCGCCAATATGCTGATATATTACAGCGACATATATCCAGTAATTTTTTTATGTTTTTAGAATGAATTCTGCGCTCACGTATTTTTTTATTTGATTCATTCAAAAGTAATTATTAATTACAGACAATATATGGCCTATTATAGCGACGTAATCAGCAATAAAAGCGTGTGTGGGATGTTCATCATTGAGAGCGCTGTTCATTATCGGTATGATGGGTTTATCATTTGCTTACTCAGAAAAAATAAACTAAGAGTGCGTTTTATACATATATTACTGCTATCACACATACATTACTCCCATCCTATGGGAGATTAAGTTTGCTGAAGAGACCGAATTCCACGAAATATTATAGTCTTTAAAAATTAAAAATTTGTTTTTGATTCGATGATTTATAGAAATGTTAGAAGAAAAATTTTAGAATTATTATCTAAAAAAAGGAATAAATAACATTAAAGAAAAATCATATTTTATATCGCAGAGAATAAAATATAATAACAAGAAAAAATCAGTTAGAACACTATCGTTAAGCGATATACTAAATACTAAATTTTTAACTGAGAAAGGTTTTTGATACATTGATGAGTATATTGATATATTTTGTTCTAAAATCTTCTAATTATTATAATCTCTGGCGTGTAATCAAATGCACAAGTAAAGTAAATGGTTACGTTTATATCGTGCGCTTAGACCACGACCTATACAAAGTGTTTAATTTATAGGATAAACAAGGATTAGGCCGCGGCCTAAGGACCGATTGTTCCCACCTTTTGGTAAATTTTATCTGTTAGGTAAATTGGCAATCCGCGCATGTAATTGGTTAATCTTGCTACTTACCCAACAGATAAAATTTATCAAAAGGTAGAACAACCGGGCCTAAATGCACGGTGTAAACGTAGCCAATGTCCCAGTAACCGGACATGTATTTAATGTATACTTATGCAAGATTTATTATTAATTTCTCTCTCTTGCTCTTTTTATTGTAATATTACAATTTAATTGTATTAATAAAGATTATTTTAAAATCGTTTGAAATTAATAATAATATAAACAAAGTTTTGTATAAATGTCCAGATATAAGTGTATGTCCGATTACTGGGACATTGGCTACGTTTATACCGTGCATTTAGGCCCGGTTGTTCTATCTTTTGATAAATTTTATCTGTTGGGTTTATCTTATTAAATTTTATCTTATCTTATTGTATACTTAGTATATTTGATGAGATATTTATCAAAATCTCTAGCATTTTAAAATGTCTTTATTTATAAATATAATATGACATACCCATTGTTAGGAGTAGCGCAACTGAGAGCGTCAATCTTGGTAGCATGATGTTCCCAGATGAGAGGAGACAAGAAACGTCAAAAAGTCCCGCGAAGGATATCGTAAACAGCAATAATCCAAGAGAAAAGGGGAGATCGTCGACCGCTTAGCGTTTTCTTGGTAGGCTTTTGTCGCTGGTCCAGTATCAAAGGTCGACAGACTCTACAGGGGACACGGGGTCAGTGTGGTCTCTCTTCGCGCGTTCTCTTGTCAATTGCAACGGGAGAAGCGCTCGCCGGTACCGTTCAGAGCCGATGTAGCGGTCAAATCGACCGAATCCGCCGACTTGTGGCAGCTAACTGTCGTGGACCGCTAAACTAGTTACGATCGTGCGGAAACCGTCCAATCGCTGAAGAATTATGCGTGGGGTGAAACTCGACGTCCGCCAACGTTCGCAGTGGTGCCTAAGACACGAATCATGCAATTCTTTAATTTTTATGTAACGTTAATTAAACACGGCTTAATAAGATTGAAATTGTTCATTCAAAATATAATATGCACTCGTAAAATTATAGACTGTGTAAGAGAAGAAAAATTTAATAATCCGTAAATTTTTCTTGCCAATTTTATATTTAAATTTTTTAACGTGTATCGCAATCAAGAATGTTTAAAGATATTTATGGAAATCATATTTGGAGTTAATTTAATATTTTCTAACGTGAGGAACTATATTTGCATTTTATGATTACTTAAAATGCAGTATAAAGATATTATTTGTAACGTCTTTATTATGATTTCTCTCTCATAATTTAACATTTATATATTTTTTTATTTCCTGATAAAGTTTTACGACTTCAGCTTTTGTCCGCTATCACTGTGCGACTGTGTGTATGCTACGAAATTATCGGTCTTTGCAACACAGTGTGTCTATTTTCGTCATGAAAAAAAGACTGCGTCGAGACAAAAAAGTAGCTCTAAAGAATTGACAATTTTCGCAGACAATTGTCGAATTGATCAAACCAATCAGCTATACAATTATTCATTTTTAACTAAAAGAATAAATTTCATTGATAATTTATGACATTACTTTCATTTTTGAATGATATATATATAAAATTCTTCTACCAATGAGTGATTATCTTTATCGGACAAGATTTTAACTAACAGATTTAATGACGTATTATCATAAATAATATGCTATCGTCTTCAGAATTCGATAACATTTGACACTGGCAGCTGTAAGTCCGGAAATTGATGAAATATGTCATGGCGACAGACCTCTAAAATTTACAGCTCTAAAAACAAAAAAAAATTTAATAAAATTTCCTCATCTCATAAAATGAGATCAAAATCAATATATGAATAGTGTATCATATATTTTATTGCACAAATAATTTGCAGAATGTAGAAGATTATACATTTATAATTTTAACCGACGTAAGATTGTATTAACAAAAAAATAAACATTCACATTTATTACATAATTAAAATAATTTATTTTAAAACAAATTTTGCTCTTTTTAAAATAGATTACAAAAATGTAAAGGCATTTTATTTATCTATTACTATATTTAAATGGTACTCAATTGTATACTCTATTATTGAATATTTTACATCTTTAATATAAGATATCAAGTTAATAAGGCAGTGATAATTATTTTAATACAATATATAATTATTTTAATACAATATATCAAATATTTTAAAAATGTATTCTACATGTTATTATAAACATTCTGGAGGATTCAAAACACGATTTTATCGATTCATTGTTGTAGAATATTTCAGCTGAAACATCAGGTAGTATTGATAAATTTATATGACATGGCATTTGGTAACACTAATTGACCATTCTGTCGCATCAGTTTCTTTGTTGTTTTTATTTTATTTAATTCATTTTCTCTATTATTTATATGTGGCACATTTTTCTAAAGCCTGGAGTGTTCATATTCTGAAAAGAATTTTTAAGTGAAATTAGAGATTAATTTTTTTATTCATTTTCATGATACGTTTTAAAATATTAGTACCTTACATAAATGTTTGATCGTGTTGTTCGTGGATCATTGTTGCCCTTCGGGATTGAATCAGACCCGATTGTCTATTATACAATTCTCTAACCAGACTGTCTTTTTCTTGTTCAAGTAACACTATTCGTTGACTCTTTTTACTTACTTCCTGTTTTGGTGTTACATAGAAAAAAAATAGATTACAATGATTTGCTGTTTTTCATATATAATGCATTATTCATATATAATGCACATTATTGTTAATATTATTATACATTACTTCGGTTAATCTGTGATTCTGTTGTTTAAGCCTTGATAGCATATCTTGCTGAAGTTGAGCCGAAGTCGGAGCACTCAGAAACGCGAGATTCATATGAAGGGGAAGTCCTCCGCGTTCCCAGCTGCTTATTAAAGCGGCTAGATGTCGATTTACTTCCAAGACACGCGCGCGTTGTAGTTCCAAACGCTCTTGCTGTGCCTCTGTCCATTGTTCCTATGTGAAATATAAACATATATATTTTGTATAGAATTCTACATGAGATCAGAAAATAAAAAGTATCTTCTATACCACGTGAGAACCCATTCGTCCGAGGTGCTTAATCTTTTCTTGAGTGGCTGATATTTGCTTCAAATACCATTCTCTAGCTTTATCAACAGCAGCTAAACCTTGAAGCAATACATCCTTCTCTTGCTCAATTTGTTTCATCCTTTTCATCTGAAAGTGTTACATATCGTGAAAACATTTTTCAGAAATATCAAAAAGATATTAAATAGTGATGTGTGTAAAATAATAGTGTTTGTGTATGTGTGTGTGTGTGTGTGTGTATGTGTGTGTATTTATAATAAATTATATACATATATAATTTGTAATCAATTCAAGACAAGACCGACATATGAATAAATTAATTGAGAAGAAGTGTCAACTATATAATCAAAATTAGATGCTGGAATAATAATTCTATATGTAATTTATTTTAAATAACTTAAATTTTAAATATATTTAGAATTATTATTCCAACAACTAACTTTGATTAGTAGTTGGTGCTTCTTACTTAATTGATATATTACATTAATTAAAAAATAATTAAAATTATAGATACATGTCTTTCATTCTTAAGAGATATGTATCACTGTTAATATTCAGTTAGTGCATACCCAGAACCAATCACCAAGAGTTAATCGGGAGTCCTAGAGGATAACATCTTTACCATATTGTAATCAATACCATTCTGCAACGTGTGCCGCCTGGGCTCTCTGCGACGATTCAACAGTTTCTTGGATTGGAGACCGAGTTGATTACTTTGTATATCGACTGCTTTACCATCACCCAGGACTCTGGTTGGTCTCAGTAATGTTCTAGCATCTGGTCTATAATTTATAGCTTGCAGCTGACGCTTTTCTTTCTCATCACTCATCATGAGACCCATCTGCCAATTTTGCAGCGCAGTCCTAATCTCAGACTTGTCAAAGTTACGTTCCAGGCCCGTCGTTCTACCTTCCAGTGCAGCGCCAGTTCGTGGTGGTTTCGGTGGACCATATACCTTGTTGATCTTCGGTTCTACGATATTCCTTCCATCCATCAGCTCCAATTGCGCATTCATGTCCTTACGATTGGCCAGCAACTGTGGCATACTGAGAGTACGTTGCTGGGATATAGCATTGTTCGGTCTTATAGCAGCAGTGTTGGACGAGGTCCAGGCCGCCTTGTTCTGATTGTCTGGAATGAGTATTGGCGCGGATGGCGGCCTGTTGGGCTGACCATCGTGTTTCTTCGCGTCTGCCTCTGCCTGTATCTGCAGCAGGCAGATCTTAAGACCAGCACAGAATCTTTCGAACGACAGCATCCCGTTCGGCGGTGTAACTTTCTTCAGACTGTCCAGCACACCCTTGGGTAGACCCTGCGTGCCATCGTCCTGCCAGCGACCCTCGATGTCAGTAAACTTGACGAAGCCAGTATTTTGATCGTCCATTATATCGAACAAAGTACGCATCGCATTGACAAAATGCTTTGGTAGTCCATCTACCGACGTTTGTATTTGCGCCATATTTATTCAGGATTTAACCTCAGAACGATATCCGTTATGTGTCTTCCTAGATAACGGCAGCTACATCATTGAGAACGATTAGAAGTAACTACTTAACTGGTTGTTCTCTATAGATGTGCTTTCCCTGCGTTCTTCCTCGCACACATATCTGATAAATTATTGTTGTTTCTTGCTAGGATCCAGCAATCACATTGTCATGCAGGTTTACGATTGTCACAGGTGGCCCAATCACAGGTTGTTTCCTTCGCAGATTAACCTCCTCTTGACTCTCTCATGCGGCCATATGCAATCATGCGTTTTACAAAAATCAGTTGTATAATATACCGCTAGATGGCGTACTAGAAACATCAGCTGGAAATATTTACACACATTATTCTTACATCCATATTTCATTGTTGGATACTTATCATACTTTCGATTCTAATTTCTGGTAAGAAACGCGAATTTTTCTTTACTTTGCACATCTACTTTTAACTAATGATAACTTCTATTTTATGCATTTAATATGAATGCATATACATTTAATACGATACGAATATTTATATGTATAATTATTCAATGTATATTATATATTTAATGTATAAATCAAATAAATATGTATATATGAGAATATACGTGATATATACATATAATAATAAATTTTTAAAATAAAATATATAGACTTTAATAAAATATTATGATAATGGTATATAAAAAAGATAGAACAATTCTTTCAAGGTTATGAAACTTAATAATAAATTAAAATTAATTAACTCGAATTTTTATAACAATATTCTTTGATTATTGAAAATGTTAAAATACATAACAAAATAATCAAAGTTATCATTGCGCCAATATTTAATTCATGGGCTACATTTATAATGCATTGTGTAAATGTAATAAGTGAATAATTATTCGTTAATGGCTGCTCTCTGTGCTAAAGATCTGAGTTTAAATCCCACACATATACATATATGTTAGAGCTGCATATTGAGGAATTTTATCGGAAGATCAGAATTTTATTTAACTGTTATTCGTTATATAACAAGTTATTAAGATAAC